AACCCTGTATAGAATACATATAAGAGGTAGGTTGGTGTAACTCAGGGTTGGACATTTATGAAGTGTTGGCTTACAATTCAGATATTAAAAAAAAAAAAATTAAAAATGAAACCTCATAGATATGGAACTACAGTCCACTGAATTGAAGATAATTTAAAAATAGGTGAAAAATGGGCTGATGGTGTTCAGCTAATGTTGAAATACTGATACTTTCTAATCGAGGAGAGAAACAAAACAAAACGATTTTTCTCCTTAAAAAAATAATATCCAAAAGAATGTAAAAATTTTTTAAATAATAAGTTGCTGCTTTTATACTATAAAAAAGTAAAATATACAATCATATCTCCACATATATTTCATTCACTAGATAGCTGTCACACAAGTGCACAGATAAATTGTGTTGTTGTTGTTATGTGCCGTTGAGTCAGTTCTGACTCGTAGTGACCCTGTATAGGGTTTCCTATGAGCGGCTGGTGAGCTTGAAGCACTAACCTTGGGATTCAAACCACCCTTACGGTCCAGTGCATTAACTCACAGCACCACACCAGGACTCCTGAATCATGATATGACATGGTTAATGCTGCAGATGATCATTACCAAAACAGTCTCTTAATCAAGTGCACATTAATTCAGAAATCCTCATGTTACATTTTTGAGATCTTAAAGAAACAAGATTTTTCTTGTTTCTTTATTTATATATTAAAAAAAAATAAACTATATTTTTACTAAAAGTTTATTGTCTTACTAATTTGAAGTATGAGTAGTGAAATTTTTGAGTACTTCAGTTTCTTCTAAAAAGCATCTTCTAAACAGGCTATCCTTTTAAAAATGTACCATTTTTATAGTTATCAGAGGAGTTTCCTCAGCATCCACCTTTATAAAGAAGGAATCGGGAAATCTGGTTTCAAATCCTTCCTTCATCTATTTGGACTGGTGTGGCAATGCAGGTTAATGCACTGGACTGCAAGGTCAAATGGAACTGCAAGGTCGTCTCGGTTCAAGCTCACTAGCCACCCCTTGGAAAACCCTACACAGGGTCACTATGGATTGACACAGCACTTACAACAACAACAACCTCATTTCAAAACTAAAGAGTTTGAACTGCTTTATCTCCCATGTATCTTCTGATTTTAAAAGGACTCCAGCAACATGCCTAGGTATTTTAAGATATCTATCCAGTTTCAAGAAAATCTCAAATCATAAATCAAGAAGTTACCATTGTATTCCTATGGAAGTACAGAACAGAACTTACTAACAGTTGCTGCTCATTACAGCTGATATGCTATAAATGGTTGTTGACACTGAGACCAGATGTCATGGAAAATCCAGCATCATTAGGAAGCAATGGGGTGGGGAAGAAACCTATGTGTGAGAATGTCAGTAGAATCTATTTAAAAACCAACCTTACAAATGGTTGCCCTATAAGAATTGAGACAATCTCAGTGTATTAAAATTAACATAATAGATTACTTCTAAATTAGAAGTACAGATGTTCCTCAAGTTAAAAACATTCATTACCAATAGTGAATGTTCTTCACATTGAAATGTCCAGCAGCCCTAGAGTGTAAATAGCTAATTATGAATGTGAATACAGTGTCCTGGTGTGGCCCAATGGGATGAGTACTGGATTTCTAACTGCAAGGTCAGCAGCTCAAACCCACCAGCCACTCCTTGGAAACCCTAGACAGGGTGGCTATGGGTCAGAACCAGTTCAATGGCACTTAACAACAACAATGTGAATATTGTCTCATACAAAGGACTGAGATCCTCTAATAAAATCCTACAGGGTTTCATCATTCCATGTATGTACTATTAGAAGATATAATATCACCTTTATAATTTTCATTTGAAAGATGATGAGGGGACTAATTAGGCCCAAGAGTTACCCAAGTTTCAGTAGTTAGTAACAGTCAGGGCTAGGGCCTGAAACCAGACTCTTGCTATAGCATCATGCTGGTAATTTCTCTCACAATTCCTTGTCCCCATGGTAACAATTGTTACTGTATTAGAAAATATATATTTATGATCTCACCTGATTCATTAGTTTTTAGCAATCAAAAAATGGAATAGTGGTAGATAAGAATCTAGAAGTGATTCTTTCTAAGGCAGTAGCCACTGATTAAGGGGAGAAATTCTACTCTTTTAGCTTGTGTAGACTATCACCACAAATTGTCTAAGTTTCTAAAGGTGTTCAGAATTCACACTAACCTATTTCTCAATGAACTTATATAATGCAACACAGTTTTAAATTGGAGGCCTTATGGGTTAGAATGATGAAAGAAAATCAAAATTAATGTGCCTGTCCAAGGTTAAATTGTTGCTTTAGAAAATCTTGGGGATTAATCCTCCCACACCCTTACAGAATATGATAGCAAGATTAACCAAACTGATATATTCCAAAGAACTGGATATAAACAAAATTTGTGTGATTTTTTTTTTTTTAATATTTCTTTAGAGCTGGCCTTTTAAAGCAGTCTTCCGATGAAACATTTACCAAAGCAAACAATCCTTTAATAAAGTCAGTAATCATCCTAATTTTTCAGTTTGTGTGCCATAGTTCTGTGCCTGAGATTTGTCTAAAACATATACATAAACATGAAGCCACTATTCGTTGTTAAAAGTCTGTACTGTAATTGCCTTGAAATAGCTCTGCCTTTCCCCATACATAACTGCAGCTGAACAGTCTTCCTGGGTACAGAGTGAAACACTGATCCAAAAGGATTTATTATTTTCCTGGATGACTCACAAGGCCCTACAGTGAGGTCTTCTAGGTCATCTCTAGTTATGAATATTTGCCCCAGTCATTCAGAGTTCATGCATGATAAAAATCTAAGGCGTCCCATTTATTCCAAATTGGCAGAGACATGGTGTTTAAGGGCATAATGCATACAGCACTGCCCAGAAGGTTTTTGTTGTTTTTTAATCTAGTTATAAAAGTAAAAACATATTTTTTTAAACAATGAAACAAACAACTTATTCACTAGTGATGCTGGTATTTGCTCAAACTTAAATATGACTTGATTCAAAAGACCTAAAATGATGACTGATTTCTAAAGTGATTGGAACTCTTTCCTTGAATTAGTCTGTGGTTGACAGATTAGAGCATATGTATGTATTAGCAAATATCTCTGCCATTTCAATTCCTTTAAACTGAAGCTCACAAAGAAATAAAATCAGCGATGGCTTTCAGTTTTGATAGGATTTTTCCAAGTTTACTCCACAAATTAAAAGCTGGAAAATAAAATTGAACATATTTTAAGAGTATATGAGTATAGTAATTTTTTGGGTTTAGTACAGTGTCAAATAGTAATAGTATAGCATGATTACAGATATTTGATACCAGAGTTCCAAATCATTTTGAATGTTATCTTTTACTAAAAGATCTTCAGCAGAAAGAAAGTTCATACTCTCAAAACAGCTTCTTCCCAAATCGCAGGCTAAATTATTTTACATTAAGTTGAGATAGTTCTCAAGCCCCATTAGCCCTAAAAAAATTATGAAGATTTCATCTGATTCACCAGTTGTCACAGTAACAATCAATCTGATGGCAGTGAGCAGCAATAGCCTGAAGAAGTCTGGTATTTGATTAAAACTTACTTGCCCACACTTGGATTTCCTATAGATTTAACCTAATTTTTCCCAAGTTCTAATTATGGCTCTTTGCTAATTGCATGGCTGGCTTAATTAACAAATAAAATACTGGTGTAGGCTGTGTTTACACAAGGTCAAAACAACCAACAGAATCAACTATTTCAGTAAGAAAAGTATACCCAACTCCATGAAAAACATAAAGTTAGTTATTTGTCAGCATATAAATAAAACTAACTTGATGAAAGAATTTCTAAATTTTCAAGCAATTGTTTTGACACTTGTCGAGTCCATTGTTTCCCAACTTTTTTTTTTCAGTCTGAGACATATCCATGAATTTGCTGAGTTATATCCCATGGTAGGAAAACTTGGAGCCATTCTTCCATTGTACTCCAATCCATCCATATGCTCATCCAGATAAATCTGGGCATGCATAGACTTCATTGTATATATTAGTCAATCTCCTGTCCCTGACCACTTTCTCTCTTCATTTCATAAAATCTGCAAAGTCATTCCAGGGGGATTAAAGAATTTTCCCGGTGCTTATTTTCACAGCACCAAAGTCTTGATACACTAGTTGGGAAACAGTGGTATAGACACAGCCTTATGCCAAGACTGAGTAATCAGTCCTTGAGTAATAATAGAAACCAAAAAAAGTAAGCCTTTCTTGTGGAATTCTTAGATAAGAAAGTATATACATATATATGTATATTGCTTTGAATCACACTTAGAAGAAATGTAATTTATGTTTAAAATTTTTCTTAAGAAAAAAAGCTAGCTAGCTGTCACATTTGGCAAACAGTAGTACACTGTCTCTGCCTTTAAGAATAAACAGATTCTTAAAGACAGCAATTTAAAACATAAATCAGAATAAGTCTCTAAAATCTGTTCAGAAATTGTTTGGAAACACTGTGGAATCAAAATCACTACATTTGGGTCCAGACTCTTGGAGTCAACTAGGATTTAATTTGCGCAGATTCATTTGCCAAATGTCTGTAGATTGGTCCAACACTTGTTAACGCTTTGCCAAGTTTCCTTCTGCTGAAAATGCCTGTGCTCTGTTAGGCTTCTAAATCAGTGTCTATGGCCAACTCTGAACCTCAAATGGCACCTTGGAAGCATGTGAGCAGGTCAAGACAGGTGTTCACATTCATCTGATCTCTTCCCAAGTGTATTCTCTCTTCCACCCTGAATTGCTACAATACACATATGCACCTGTCTGAAGCCTGCACACATGACAGTGTTGAATCATTTGCTAACCATATTTTCTCTGGGGTCTAGGAATGGCATTCTCCAGGCAAGAGGACAGTGCATGACTTTTTTCTTCTTCTTCTTCTGATCTTGTAAAATATTCATTTTTATTAATCACTTAAAATACTCACCTTAATCTCTTTTCTTTTTTCTAAATAAAGCCTGAGAATTTGCTTTTAGCTAGCAAATCCAAAGGAGCAGCTGTGAAACTGGCAGACTTTGGCTTAGCCATAGAAGTTCAAGGAGACCAACAGGCTTGGTTTGGTGAGTAAGATGTCTCTGTTTCATAATACCTTACACCCAGGTTTCTGGCTCTTGTCCCATCCCACTCACTGACCAAAATTAAATAGAAATGTACATCCTCACAACAGCTTTAGAGATCTTAAGATATTGCACTTGTGTACACACGTAATTTCACTAAAGGGTATGTAATCTAGAAATAATTTGGGAGATGCACTGGACGGTGAACAACAGGGTCAGCAGTTCAAATCTACCAGAAACCCTATACAGGATCTCTATGGGTCAGAACCAAGTCCACGGCACTTAACAACATTAATAGGAGGGCAGGAACACAGAGACTTTTCTCTTAAACAATGAGTGAAAAACTGGAGGCTATGCTAGAAGTTATTAGGGGCATTGAAATTTTCAAAAATACTTTAATTTGTGAGAAAATTAATGGTTCATATTTTTACAATCTCACATAGAGACAAAAAAAATTTATGTAAATAGTAAGTAGGCACTCTGCTCCCGCAAACATGTATAGCCTCAGAAACTCCAGGGTCACTATGTGTCGGAACGACTCAACAGCACTTAGTAACAACATACAAGTCAGGAAATAAAGAATATTTCACAAATTTTCTGAGTAGTGAGTTAAGGTTTTTCCTTTTTAAGACATCATCTTCTTTTGCCCAAATTATCAGTTGTTGATTTTTTTTTTTTCTTGACATTCTGGTAATTTCACAAAAAGTCTGGATGATGAAATATGCTTCCTTGCTGTTATGGAAGCGATTAACTCTAGATAGATTTATATTATTTTATTTCTAAGGAAGCTTATAGATTGTTTCAATATTCAGCCTGATTAATTATCTTATTCAAAGGTTTCTTTATGCCTCTCTGTCATATATTTTAATGTAATCTTCCAAACTATAGCCGCTCCCGAAGACTCAGTCTTACTTCTCTTTTGACTTTCAATTTGTTGAGTTAGATAGGTTTGAAACATCCTTCACTTCTGATTGCTTTTCCTTTGAACACAACAGTAACAACCAAAAAATTAATTTTCAAAGGAGAACAAAAAATGGTTACTTGTTTTGTTTTATGTATAAATGTTTTTATGTACTCCTAAATAAATACATCGAGTCCTGGTGTGGCGTTGCAGTATAGTGCACTGTACTGCAAATTTCCACAGTAACCTAACCAAGGAAAGAGGAGGCACTCATTCAGGTGTATTGTCAGATGTATTCTTGATATTAAAAAGTAAGGGCATAGTTTAACGTGAATGACTTACTTATTGTTTTATTATTATCTGTCATCCTATTCTCATCCATTTGACTGGTTAATTTTATCTTTTCCTATTTAATAATAATGGCTGGAGGGGATGATTTAGGTACTTCTGGATTGAGAACAGTGAACATAGATAAGGAAGGAAGTCCAGAGGAGCTGCATCCAGGACTAGGAACTCTGCTGTCACACCCCTCCCACACCTATCACTTGAACACCTTGGCTTGCAGAAGCCATCCCCAAAGTTTACTCCTTTCCAGTTCCAACAACTACACTGTTTTGTTTTTTGTTGTTGTTGTTGTTGTTTTTGTCTTGGTTTTGTTTTTTTCCTTGTTTCATTGTTTTCTTTTGTTTATTCTTTCTCTTCCCCTTCTTTTCCTTCCATTCTCATAGATTTTATCCATTATCCACTGTTGTCCATTTTTCTTCTGTTTCTCACTTCCACTCTTGTTTTTTAGCCTTTGATCTTTCTGTACTGTACTCTTTCTTTTTCATCTTCCCTCTTCCTTGGTTTTCTAAGTGTTTTTTTTTTTTTTTTTTGTCTTTTTTTCTCCTTTGTAGTTCCTCTCTTATTTTTCTCTTCTATAGATCCAATTTCCTGTCCCTCTTACCTTTTTTAGTTATTTTTAAGTGTTTTCTATTTCTTCCTTTTACTTTCTCTATTATTTTTTCTCTTCTATAGCTCCATATACATGTCAATCTTATGTATTTATGGTTATTGTTAATATTATTTTTTTTCTGGTTGCTGCCTCTTTGCATTTCTTTTTATTTTTTATTATTTTCTCTTTTCATTGTTGGTTCCTTGTTTGATTATTCAACTTTTTTTCTTGTGTGTGGTGGGGGTTTGTCTTCCCCATCCAACAGGTGATAGCAACCTTGCCCATACAGCCCATCCACAACCTTACCCTCTGTAGCTTAACCTACTGGGCAAGAACCAGTACCAGCTCCTATACCACCTTATTACCGAAAGACAGAAGCCAACATCTGCCAAACCCACCGTAAACTAAATGGCAAACAAGAGCAGTGTACACACTTCCATTCTGTAACTACAACCACAGGATATAGTTGGTGAGATCCTGAGAACTCACCAACATACAATCATTAATTCAATACAAATATAACAGCTCCAAAATGCCTCCAAAATAACAGAGATTTTTAGCTTACATGAAGAAACAAGAGGTAATGATGCAAACAAATGATTAAGATGCAGAGCAAGAAAACGTTTATGAGGAAGAAGGTAATGGAACTAACTGAAAAAGAATTCAAAAGAATGATAATTAGGTACCTTCAAAGGAATGCTAGAAAGACCCAGGAGAACAAAGAGAACATAGTAAAAGCTTTAGAAGAATTCAGGAAAATGCTGCAAGGAAAAACAGACCACATAAATTCAAAATTTGAAACAATACAATACCTAAAATTAGGAATCTAGAAGATTAACACTAAAATCTCAGAAATGGACAATACATTGAAAGGAAACAGGAGTATATTTGAAGCAATGGAAGCGTGAATTAGAGAGCTTGAAGATAAATCTCTCAACACTAGTATGCCAGAAGATTGAAAAAAATCTGAAAAATGCCTAAAAGTTATGTGGGATGCCATTTGTTGTTGTTGTTGTTAGGTGCCATCGAGTCAGGACCAACCCATAGTGACCTTATGCACAGCAGAATGAAACACTGCCCAATCCTGGGCCAACCTCACTACTGTTGCCACACTTGAGTCCACTGATGCTGCCACTTGGCCAGTCCATCTCGTTGGGGTCTTCCTTTTTTTCTCCGACCCTACACCTTACCAAACATGATATACTTCTCCAGCGACTGGTCCCTCCTGACAATATGTCCAAGTATAAGAGACAAAGTTTGGCCATCTTGGCCTCCAAGGAGCACTCTGGCTACACTTCTTCCAAAATGGACCTATTGGTTCTTTTGGCAGCCCATGGCACTTTCAATATTCTCCTCCAACACCATAACTCAAAAGCATCAATTCTTCTACAGTCTTCCTTATTCACTGTCTAGCTTTTGCATGCATATGAGGCTATTGAAAATACCATGGCTTGGGTCAGGTGTGCTTTAGTCTTCAAGCTGATATCTTTGCTCTTCAACAATTTAAAAAGGTCTTGTGCAGCAGATTTGCCTAATGCAATACATCATTTGATTTCTTGACTGCTGCTTCTGTGAGTGTTGATAGTTGATCCAAGAAGAATGAAGTCCTAGACAACTTGAGGCTTTTCTCCGTTGATAAGAATGTTTATTTGTCCAGTGGTGGGGATTTTTGTTTTCTGTAAATTGAGATGTAATCCATACTGAAGGCTGTGCTCTTTGATCTTCATCAGTAAATGTTTTAAGTCCTCTTCACTTTCAGCAAGCAAGGTTGTTTCATCTGCATATCACAGGTTGTTAATGAGTCTTCCTCCAATTCTGATGCCACATTTTTCTTCATATAACCCAGCTTCTCGTATTACTTGCTCAGCATACAGGTTGAATAAATATGGTGAAAGAATACAGCCTTGTCGCACACCTTTCTTAATTTTAAAACATTCAGTGTTCCCATGCCCCATTCGAACAACTGCTTCTTGGTCCAGGTACAGATTCCTCATGAGCACAATTAAGAGTTCCAGAATACTCATACTTCCCAATATTGTCCATAGCTTGTCATGATCCACACAATTGAAAACCTTTGTGTAGTGGGATGCCATGAAGAGGATTAATTTATGAGTGATTGAAATTCCAGAACAGAAAGAGATGATAAAAAGCAGAGGGAAAACTGTTGAAGAGTTGTTGAAAGAAAATAATTCCCCTAACACCTGAATGAATATAATCATTCAAGAAACTGAATGAATCCCAAACAGGATAGATTCCAAAGGTAAATTACCGAGGTTTATCTCAATCAAGTCGTCCTGGTGTGGCACTGTGGGTTATGCAACAGACTGCAAAGCCATTTGAACTGCAAAGTTGGCGGTTCAATCTCACCAGCTGCTCCTCAGAATCCCTATACAGGGTCATTATGGATCGGAACCTACTCGACATCACTTAACATCAATAACATCATAATCAAACTCTCCAAAACCAAAGACAAGGAAAGAACCTTGACAGCAGCTTGGGAAAAACAAAAAGTTATTTATCACTCATCTGTTGCTTTGTTGTGGTGGTTTACATGTTTCTGTGATGCTGGAAGATATGCATCTGATATTTTGAATGCCAACAGGGTCTGGTGGACAGATTTCAACTGAGCTTATAGACTAAGACAGACTTGGGCAAATGGAGAGACAGACTACTTCCAAAAGTTTAGTCACTGAAAACCTTATGAATATCAGTGAATCACTGTCAGGTAGTACTGTCCTATAGCACCAAACTTCAGCTAGCACTGAATATTGAACATGATGAATTGTTGTTTTTAAGTGCCGTTGAGTCAGTTCTCACTCATAGCAATCCTATGTAGTGTTTCCGAGAAGTGACTGGTGAGTTTGAACTGCCAGCCTTACTATTTAAACCAACCTTCTATTGTCAGATATAGTGCCAAAGAATAAGCCCCTCAGACTGGAAGATACTCAAAATACAACTAAGGAAGAGCTTCCTCCTCAAAGTAGAGTTGACCGGGAAGGCACAAATAGAGTAAAGCCTTTGGGACTTTGATTTACTGATGGTGCTCAACTTGAAATGAGGAGATACATCTGCAAACATCCATTGATAATTGGAGCATACAATGTAAGAAGTATGAATCTAGGAAAATTGGAAGTTGTCAAAGATGAAATGTGACATGAACTTCAATATCCTCGGCATCAGTGAAATAACTGGACTGGTATTAGCCATTTTGAATCTGACAATCATATAACTTACTAAGCAGTAATGACAAATTGAAAAGGAATGTCTCCACATTCATCATCAAAAAGAACATTACAAAATCTATCTTTAAATATAATGCTGTGATCAGATAATAATACCTATGCCTATAAGTAAGACCAGTTAATACCACTATTATTCAAATTTATGTTCTAACCACTAAAGCTAGTGATGAAGAAATTGAAGAATTTTACCAACTGATTCACTCTGAAATTGATTGATCAAACATGCAGTCAAGATGTATTGGTAATTACTGTTGATTAGAATGCAGAGGTTGGAAACAAAGAGGATGGATCATTAGTTGGAAAATATTGCCTTGGTAATAGAAATGAAGCTGTAGATCACATGGTAGAATTTTGCAAGACAAATGACTTATTCATTGCAAATACCATTTTTAAACAACATAGAAGATGAGTATACACATGGAAGTCACCAGATGGAATGCACAGAAATCAAATTGACTACATATTTGTAAAGAGATGGTGGTAAAGTTCTATATCATCAGTCTAAACCAGGTCAGAGTCAGACTGTAGAACACACCATCAGTTGTTCAAGTTCAGACTGAAGTCCAGCCTGAAGCTGAATAAAATTAAAACAAGTCCATGAGAGCCAAAATATGACCTTAAACATTTCTGAATTTGATGCATTGAACACTGATAACTGAAAACCAGAGGAGTTGTGGGATGATATCAAGAACATCATATAGGAGAAAGCAAAAGGTCATTAAGAAGACAAGGCAGAAAGAAAAAAACCAAAATGGATGTCAGAAGAAACTCTGAAAGTTGTTTTCCAGCTTAGAAATGGAAGAAATACACAGAGTCACTATACCAAAAAGAAATGGTTGATGTTCAACTATTTCAAAAGGTAGCATAGGATCAAGAGCCAATGGTACTGAAGGAAGTAGTTCAGTGTGCACTGCAGACA